TCCTCCTCTTCCTTGTGTTACTGGAGATTAAACGCAGAGTCTTCACATTAAGCTACATCTCATGTCCTTTTATTTTTTATTTTGAGAGAGGGTTTCACTAAGTTGCTAAACTGTTCAGGCTGGATTTGAACTTGCAATCCTCTTGCCTGGGCCTCCCACAGCACCAGCATGCCCAACTGAGATCTGTAAAATATACAAACCGCAAAGGAAGCGTCTCAGAACCCAAGGGGCTATCATATACGCACCTACAATTACTGCATTTATTAGATTCTGCCAACACCGTGCTGGATTTGCTTTGTAAAATGGGCTAAACAAATATGCACAGGGAAATCCATCAGACGAACGCCCTTGGCAAAACATACCCATATTTCAATTAGATGTAGATTTAATTACTTGCAATATCAGCTCTATGTTTTCATGTGCTTGTCATCGCCTTTCCTACCAGAAGCACTTACTGACTGTGCCTAGCGATGTAGCCCCACGCAACTCTAAAGGACACAGTAATGCGCTAGGGAGGATCCTCGCCAGCTCTGGAGACAAACATGGTCAAATCAGTTAAGATCTTATCTTGGTCTGTATTCTGCTGCTGTAACAGAATACTGCAGACTGGGTAAATTGTTTTCGAAAACAGAAACTTACTTGGCTCATATTTTGGCGGGCTGAGAAGTCCAGGAGGTTGAAGCCAGGAAGAGGCCCCAATTGGTAAGGGATGCCTGCGCATGCGCGTGTGCAGAGCAGGACAGGGACAAGCAGGAGCCTGAGCTCTTTGTAACAGGACCTATTTCTGAGGCCTCCGGTTGGCTCTTGAGACACAAGCGCTGCTCCATTCCTGAAGGCTGCACTCCCCAGGACCCTGCTGCTCAACACTGCCACAGCGCAATTAGATTTCAACGTGGGTTTTGGAGAGGAGATTGAGAGCATAGCAGATCTGCAACGCTGACTTTACACCAGGACAGAATTGCATGAGCTTTGGAGGAAAGCCAGCTGGGGTTCGAATCTCAGCCCCAACATCTCGGCTTTCCAGCTACTGAGTAAGCTTCTCAGGTCACACATTTGCCTACAGAGTGATGGGCTCGCTCTGCAATGAGGCAAGGCAGAGAGAAGGAGAGCCCTAGGCTAAGAAGCTGTTGGGATGTTAAAAGTTCCACAGCTTGAGCCAGTCGGTGCCCCCTCTTTTTGTCTCTCTTCTTCCCTCTCTCTGTCTCTGTCTCCTCTCCATATCCATGTCCCTGTCCATGTCCATCTTTGGTTAGAAATGCTGCCAGAGTATATAATGATGAGTCAGGCATGTTGGCACACTCCTGTAATGCCACCACTCGGGAGGCTGAGGCAGAAGGATTGCCATGAGTTGAAGGCCAGTCTCCCTACATAGGGAGACCCTGTTTCAACAATAAAAAAGGCACTAGCAAAATGAATACAACATATTAAAAAAGTTAGGTTTCTTGAGCAAGTGGGATTTATGGCTAATTTAGCACATGCAGGTGAGTATGTATCACAGGCCACATTGAAAACAACATAGACACTTCAGTAGATGCAGAAAGAACAGAGTTCAGCATCCATGGATGATAAAATCCATGGATGATAAAATTCTCATCAAGCCATGCACTATGGTGCATGCTTATGATCCCAGCTACTCAGCATAAGTATCACAGGTTGAAGCCTACGCAACTTAGTGAGATCTTGTTTCAAAATTAAAACGAAACAGGATGGGATTTGGCTCAGCATTATAGTGGACCTGAGTTCAGCCATTGGGACTCAACAACAACATTTTATCAGAACAGGCATGGCAGCAAATTTCCTATAATCAATGAGAGAGACTGAGAATCTTTTCCTCATAGATTGAGTCCCAGACAAGGATGGTCACTGTCACCACTTTTGCTCTGCATAATGCCTGGCACATGAGCAGGAGCACTGGGGCCAGGGCCTGCCTGGTAAGCACAAGGTCCTGCTCCATTCCCAACACCAAAAAACAAACAAACAAACCCAGCAGGAGCAACCACATAAGGAAAATAAATAAGAGACACCTGAATTGGAAAGAAAGAAGTAAAATTACATCTGTTTATAGATTACCCAGTAAGTAGAAAGTCTAGAAATTACACACACATTCCAGAACTAATAAGCAAATTCAGTAAAGTTGGATACAAAGCCACATGCAACAAATAAGTTGTGTTTCTTTACAAAAATGATGATTTATCTGAAAAGGATAGCAAAACAGCAATCTCATGATGGCATCAAAAAGAATAGCATGTTTGGTAATGAACATAACTGCAAAAGATGTTACACTGTACATTGAAACCTATAAAATAATGATGAAGGCCCTGAAGAAGAATCAAGCAAATCAAAAGATAGCTGTAGCTATAAGTTAAAAAAAGTTAATATTGTTAAATTTTTCATACTGGGCCCCGGATATAGTTCAGTGGCACAATGTGGGGCAAGTGCAAGGTTCAGAGTTCGTTCCTGATACAAAATACTATTACTACTATTACTACTGTTACTAATAATAAAATTTTTATAATAACCTAAGCAACATAGAGATTCAGCACAACTCCAACAAAATTCCATTTTTCATAGAAATAGTAAAACTAATTATACAATTTGTATTGAACTACAAAAGATGCTGAGCAGACAAATCAACCTTGAGAAATAAAAGCAAAGTTGAAGGCATCATGTTTTTTTATTTTAAATTATTAGAAAGGTACATTTATCAAAATAGTACTGGCATAAAGGCACATAAATGCTGGGAAAGAATAAACAAAGGGCACAAAGTCAACTAACACTCAACAAAGGTGCTATTGTTGGTCAGCTCTCCATAACTGAGACAGAATCTGAGAGGCGCATTGTCTCCGAGGGTTCAGTCCATGGTCAGCTGGCCCTATGAGTTGGGCCACAGCTGGGCCTGTGATCAGACAGAGGATCTCGGTGGAAGGGTTTGGCGGAATAAAGCTGCTTGCATCATGGTGGTCAGGAAGCAGAGAAGGAAAGAGGAAGGGTCAGGGTCCAGACATGGGGCACCCTAAAAAGGACAGGCTTGAGTCATTTATAAGAAAATGCATGCTCTTTGAGACCATAATGTTAAGTGCAGTAAATCAGATGCATGACCTTAAATATTACATTGTTTCTCTTATTTGAGAAACTCAGAGTAAAAATATAAAGAGCAAAATAAAAGATAATAGGCAATAGGGAGACAGATGTCAGAAGGGAAGGGGCTCAGGAGGGTGCGGGGGTGAGGGAGGAGATGCGGGGTGTAAAAGGAACTGGGATGTGTGGTGTGCACGTACCAGCTCTGTTTGTGGAATCTAAAAAGAAGCAGAAAGCAGAGTGGTGTAGAAGTGATACAGGGAGCAAGGCTCCGGGTCTAGGATGGGTGAGTTTCCATGTCACTGTGTGACACCCTAACCGTAGCTGATGACACTGTGCTGTACACCAGAAATTCACCAACGGCAGATTCCAGGTGCACACGTGGAGGGTCATATGCGATCATCTTACTATGTGTATGTATCAAAACCCTACAGTGTGGACCTCAATATATACAACATCTATTTCAAAAAATTAGTAAAATTTTGAAAAGCATATGACAACATATGCCAGGTGCTGAATTCAATCCCTAGGGCAGAGAAAAATATGTGATCCCACATTTAGCTATACTCCTAAAAGAATTCAAGGGCATCCCAAGCCAATGTCCCATCCATATGATCTCCAGTAGGCAAAGGTGGAAACATCCCAAGGGCCTTCAGCAGACGAACAGATCAGCAAACGGATCAGCAAACGGTAACGCAGGTGCACTCGGGATGCGATCAGCCATCATCATGAGGTCCAGATGCCGGGAACACAGCACAGCACGGGGGAGTTTGAGTTTTTCTGTTTTGTTTCATTTGACACAGGACCTTCCCGTATTGCCCAGACTGGCTTTGGACTTGCGATCCTCCAGCCTTGGCATCCTGGGCAGCTGCTGTTACAGGCGAGCACCACCACACTCCAGTAACGTGAGTCATGAAAACAGGATGCACAGTGAAGTAAGCTGGGCACGAAAGGACAAGCATCATGAGATTCCACTTGTGTGGGATGATGTGAATAGGCAGGTTCACAGAGGCAGGAGCGGAGGCGAGGCTGCTACGAGGTCAGGGAGGGGAAAACAGCGAGTTACAGTTTAACTGCTACAGGTTTTCTCATTTTTCACTCTGATAAAAGGTTTTGAAACCAGATTATGGTGATGATTACAAAACATTAAATATGATTAATGCCACTGACCACACAGTAAAAGACAATTAAAAATGACTGGATATGGTGGCACACAACGGTAATCCCCATACTAGGAGGATTGCCTCGACTGCACAGTGAGCCTGGACCACATAGTAAGAAAAATTATACATATATATATATAGTTAGTTAGTTAGTTAGTTTTTCATTTCTTTTTTTTTTTTTTTTCTGATACTGGGAATTACAATCGGAGGATTTGTACTGAGCTACATTGCTAGGTTTGTTTTGTTTTTTAAAAATTTTGACCATATCTTGTTAAATTTGTCCAGGCTGGGGTGGAATTTGTAAGATCCTCCTACTTCAGCTTTCCAGAATGCTGGGATTATAGGCATGTGCCACAAGGCCCAACTTAAAGAAATAATCCCCTGGGCTGGGGATGTATAGTAAGTAATTCAGTGGTGGAGTGCTCACCTAGCTTGTATGGGACCCCAGATACATCTCTAGCACTACAAAAAAAATTATATATATTTATTTTTAAATAATTTATAATATAAATAAATATTTATATAAAATATATATTTTATTATATATTAATATTATATATAAATATATTTATAAAGTTTATAATATAAATATATGTATTTATATTATATATAAAATATATATATGATGTGTGTGTATTCCATCTCCACGATTATGATTTGAAAACTGTCTGCTGCCACTGCCTCTTGATCTTCATTGCTTACACGGGCCATTGGGCTGTGACTCACATGGGGAACCTACCTGGGGAAGAAATTGCATGCACTGGCTTTTTAGAGAAGCAACCCTGGAGGACCCTAAACATGAGCAGAGCCGAGCTCCTTTACCCCTCGTGACTCTGTGTGCGGCAACTCCGCCCACTGTCACTGGACCAAACCCAGGCCATTGGGTTACCTGTGGGTGATGGGCTGGGGAGGAGCCCCAGGGTAAGCTCAAATTTGACTTTAAGGCCAAAGCTCTGTCAGACACAGGCAGTGAGGCAGCATCGCCAGAGGCAAGATCTGCTTGGCCAAGACTTCAGGGAGGCAGGAAGACGCGCTGGACAACACCATGGACAGGTGAGGAGCTGGGCTGAGTCCTGGGCTTGGGGATCTGCAGGCCACTGCCCTGGAGCGGACACCCCATTCCCGGTCCGGTCCACCTGCGCTCAGCCCAACTCTGCGCTGTCGCTCGCTGGCTCTCTTCTGTGCTGCAGAAGACGCACTGTGTGCGAGGCACTGACTTGTCTTGAGCTTTGTGGCCCCACTAGCAGTGGTTTATGGTAACGACCTGAACAGGAGATCTTTCCAGACTCAAATCATGAGAAGGTCACAGCTACACTGTACTAAAAACTGTAGTGGCCATTTTTATAATCATCTCGCAAGCATTCAGCAGCAAAGCCATCAAAGACAGACTTGCCTTGGGAGATGTTATTGAAGTAATGTAGCTGGAGTAAGGAAACTGGTATTTTCTTAAGACACCAGACGTGCAAGATTAATTGCTTGAATTCACTGAAGCATGCATGTTATTTACTGTTACACGCCGACTGTTGGGCAACTAAGGGCATTTTTGCTGCTGATCTTTCCATTTGTTCAGACATGATCTACCTGAACTCATAAATGCAGACGCTGTAAGACTGTCACCGTGTCTTCACGTGCAGTTTAAGATGTCACTAACCTAGAGCTTATTTTATTCTTATTTTCACAATTACTGTGAACGTCTGGGAATGACACCTAATCCACATATTTCATTTTAGTTTAATTTTTTATGGTGAATGTGACCTCAGAGGCAAGCACTCTAATGTCAAGGCTGGGGGTGTGACTCTGTCATGAAGCACTTGCCTGGCATGTGCAAGGTCCTGGCCTCAGGTTCTAGCACACAGGGCCAGTGGTGATACTCACACAGGAGGAAATGCAAAGACCAATAGGGAAGGAGAAAAGAGAGAATTCCACAGAAGAAAGCAGTAACCCAGCCCCACAGGGGAGTTCGGGGAATGGCTGGAGGGGCTTGCTCAGGGTTATTTTTAACCCACCCTGGTTTGCATCACCAGGTGGCTTGTGCTCTGCCCCAGGGGACACAGCTGTGCAACAGCTGTCAACCTGTTACCCTGAGAGGCTGGCGGGACAGGACACGGGCCCTCCAAACCCTTCACCTATATCCCATCCTGCTTTTGTACTCCCAGGATTCTCCTTCCTTACACGCACACACTTGCATCACCCCTGGCAGTGAAAGACAGTTTTCCAGGGCTGAGGTTGTAGTGCACTGAAAACTTGAAAGAATTTTTACCCCCACTTTTCTCATCTCTGTGGCTTAGATGCCAATTTAAATAAAAAGGGAACTTACAGGTAAGAGAGGATGCTTAGTATGTTTTAAATGAGACGGGGCATGGAGGTTTATCCCCGTAATTCCAGTAGTTTGGGAGGCTGAGGCAAGAGGATCACAAATTTGAGATCAGACTAGGTAATTTAACAAGGCCTTGTCTCAAAACAAAGGAAAACCAACAAACACACCAAAAACAGGAGGCAAATAGGAGGTTGCTGGGATGTAACTCAACACTTCTTCGTTTTAAACAAAACAACTGACCAGGTTCCAAAGAAATTATTCATTTTGTGTGTGCATATTAAGTACCCACTATGTGTTGAGTTTAGCTATGCTAAAAGTTATTACATTCCAGTTGTGTAATAGTGTCATGGTGCAATTGTGATCACCATAATAAATTGCTATAATTTTAAAATAAAGTCAATTATTGTTCGGAGTATGCTAGTATCCATTTTTTATTTGTGGAAATTATGTTTTGTGTGTGTGTGCTAAGGATGAGAACTTTAACTTTTAAAAGAATTATGTTTGACTTTTTTTGTTGTTGTTGTACTGGGGATTAAACCACAACCCTTCAGAGTAAGCTACATCCCAGCCCTTTCTCATGTTTAATCTTGATACAGGGTCTTGCTAAGTTACTACATTGTGCAGGCTGGGCTTAAATTTGAGATCCTCCTGTCTCAGCCTCCCAGAGGGCTGGGATTACAGGACTATACCATCACATCCAGCCTTGGTTGACCATGTTTATACTTTTTGATATACATAATATTTATGCTGATAACAAAATTACTTCTCTGTTTTAAGGTTTAATTTAAAAAGTCTTCCAGTAGGTTTTTTCAGTGTAAACTTGAAACCATTACTGGCTCTTTTCCTAGATGTTGGTCCCTTGTCAGAGATTCTCTACAGAATAAAGTTGACATATTGGTGGCCGTCTTCTTAGGTCAGAGTTTGTTCACTTGAAGCATACTCTAAAGTACTGCATGAGTTTTCAACTAATGTCCAAAAACTGGCACACGTGTGACCGTAGCAGCCCCCAGCGGAGTCGCCCAAATGCCGCCCCGCCCCCCACCCTGGAAAGCGAACCAGCAACACGCGCTGCGCAGCGACACCCTGTGCAGCAGGAAGGTTCCAGCCAGGGACACGGGTGGGTCCCACACGCTGCGCCCAGGAAGCAAGTGAGACTCAGAGGAGGAGACCATATAGGACTCGCGTGAAGGGTCTCTGACAGCCAGTCAGTGGCTGCTAGGGTGTGGAGCCCATTACAGAGGGGCTGAAGGATTTTGGGGGCAGGGCCCTGGAAATGATCAGTAATCCGATGGGGGTGTCAGCTTGGGGTGTTTACATCTGCCAATGACCACAAAACTGTGGGCGAAGTTTACTGCATGTAAATTGTACCTCAGGGTAACAAAAAAAGTAACAGTTTCAATTCTCTCATCACTAAACCGTATTCAAATTCTGGCTAAGGTTCGCTTTGCAAGCGCTCTGCACTTCTGTTGGACATCACTAGGTGGCAGTACTACCTCAGCAAATTGGATCAGAACTGGGCAAAATAAGGGCCACGAACTTTAGAGACTAAAGACACTGCTCTAGCTTTCCTAGCATAACGCCTATCGCTTGTGTTAGCGTGTTTTCTTCTGTAAGGAGCACTGTTGATTTCTTCAAAGAAACCTGAGTTGCCAAAAAATATCTCTGTCAATTCAATTCAATTCAATTCAATTCAATTCAATTCAGTTCAGTTCAGTTCAGTTCAATTCAATTCAATTCAATTCAATTCAATTCAATTCAGTGTAGAGCCCCCGATTCACAAGATGCTGTGCTAGGAATGGAAGACAAAGATAAGGGGCAGAGGGTCCCTGTGCGTGACTGTGAACGACAGCAAAATACTAGGGTTTTATTGCAGTGGAAGAGACCAGCACAAGGGCTCAGGGTGTAGCTCAGCAGTACAGTGTGGACCTAGCATGCTCGAGGTCCCAGGTTTGATACTCAGTGCTGGGAAGAAGAAAAAGAAAAAAGTCTATAAAGTATGAGTTTATTATGTGTAATGACCACGTGACTATGCACCCATAAAAAAGACTAGAAGAGAAACTAGACTCTTTAAATTGTCACTGTCATTACATAGAATGCTTCATTATCACTGTTAAGACATTATGACTTTCCAAATTTTGTCTTTAATACTTAAGACCTTACTTTTCTAGAGTATTCCAGTTGGACAATAATCAAATGTTGCTCTTACACATTAAAAGCATATTCATAACGTTGACACTGCCTCAAAATGGAAAATATCTAATTGAGAACACTGAGATGTCAGCAAATGAGAAATTGGAAAATAATAGGAAATCAGAGGAAATTACTTTTGCTTAGAAAATTTGGGATAATAGTAGTGAGAAAGCTTTTGCTTTGCTTTGTTTGTGGTACCGTGGTTTGAACCTAAGGCCTTTGCGTTGAGCTACAAACTCAGCCCCTCTGCTCTTGAGACAGTATCTAAGTTGCCCAGGCTGGACTGGAAGTCACCATCCTCCTGCCTCAGCCTCCCAGAGTGCTGGTTTGCAGGTGTGCACTGCCACTCCTGGCTGAGAAAGATCTTCCGAGGAAGGAGACCTGAAATGGGTGTAGCTCTGAAGGACAGATAGGCTTTGGGCAGAATGCGGGGAGGAGTCTGGATCGCCTGGGGATGCAGCTCAGTGGTAGAGCACATGCACGAGACTGTTCAAACCCTAGTGCCACCAAAAGGGAACAAGCAGGAAAGCGTTCAGCCAAGGAGAAGTGAACCGTCATCAAGGGAGGTGCGAAAAAAGTGCTGAAGGGACACAGGCTGGTGCTGGCAGCCAGCTGCTCCAGGTCTCCAACATCAGGAGGGGAGGGCGAGGAAAGGTGTCAGGCAATGGCAGAAATGTTGCCTTCAGGTCCCTCCAGAAAGGCTGCCTGACACTGGGCTCTCAGGGCTGCAGCTGACTCCCAGGGCAGAAGAGAATGAGCAGCATTCAGCGAGACAGTGACACGGCTCTGAGTGGCAGAGTGGGGACATTGCTGTGGAAGGGCCAGGGGCCAGCACTGTGGACCTGGTGACAGCTGAGGGCCGGGAGGCGGGGCCTCGTCAGCTGCCTGGGCTCTGCTGGCCCTCCCAGGCACAGGGGACTCCTCCTGCTTCCTGTGCTGCTCCCATGCCTTTGCTATGCCAGTGCAGTCGCTCACACAGGTCGGGGATCTTACTTCAGTTTTCACGTGGTTCCACCACAGAAACTGCACTGTCCTCTAAGTTGCTTTCCCAACACTTCGTTTTAACTTGGAATAACATTATTTTTTCAGACAGTCCTACTCCTGAACCAGAGACTCATTACCAAAAGAAAAGCCTAACGGGGCAGTGGGAAAGCATTTATGTTCAAGGCCTTGGGTGAATCCTAGCAACACACACACACACACACACACACACACACACACACACACACTCAGCACGGAAAACAAGCTCATTGGATCAAAACTTTGCAGGACACAGACACCTGAGAAACAGAGACAGGTCAAAGCGTGAGGTGACCGAGGTCAGGCCTGCAGCTAGGACCCTGTTTGGCCAGGTTGCTGTGAGGTACATTTGGATCTTTAGGCGCAGACCCGGGGAGACCTGCAAATGTAAGCGTGAGATCAAAGAACAAGTTTCAAGTCCCAACATGGAGGAGATAGTTTCTGAGGCTCTCAGAGGGAGGAGCTGGGTTTAGGGCTCTGGAGATTTCTGCATTGCTCTCCATGCTGAGCAGCAAAGGGCGTCTCCGGTGCTCTGCAAGCTCAGCGGGTCTCAGGAACGCCCTCTCCCCCCTACCATCACTGCACATTTCCCAGGCACTCACGGGGCGGGGTGCCCAGTCCCCGTGGAGCCCTGGCTTCGCTCCCAGCACTGCCGGGTAATAGTGTTGAGGACAAAGCAGGACAGCGCCACCCGACAGGGTCACCACCTGTATTCCCCCCTGTCCTCCCACATGCAGCCTCCTGATGAAGCGAACGAAGTTTCTGTACCAATTCAAGAACGTCCGCTGGGCCAAGGGTCGGCACGAAACCTACCTGTGCTACGTGGTGAAGCGGCGCGACAGCGCCACCTCCTGCTCCTTAGACTTCGGCCACCTGCGCAACCAGGTACTGGCTGGGATTGGGCGCTCCTGGCAGGGCAAGCCCAACCCCTGGGTGCTGTGGGAGGCGCCCGCACTGGGTCCTTTTAGCCCGTGGCACGACGCCTCATTTCTCCCTCCCTGTCTGTCTACACGGACGCGCACCTGTGTTAGACACGGCCTGCGTGTGTCATGAACCATCCTCACCCGTCCTGCAGGCCTCGGCTTCAAGTCGCCTTGACCTAAGATAAGAGCATTTTGGCTGGGGGAACATGATCAGCTTGTTCAAGCAAATGTTATGTCTATTTGGTTATTGGCTTTTGTCATGCTGGGGATTGAACCCAGGGCTTTTGCACAAGCTATGCCAGCGTTCTACTCATGAACTCTGTCCCCAGTCCTCCAAGGATGAAAAATAGTACTTTTAGAAGTTTTGAAAATCAAGAAAGAAAAATTTAGTAACAATTACAGTGCCAGACATGGGGGTGTATTCCTGTAATTCTAGAATTCAGGGGCGGAGGCAGGAGGATCACAGCAAGTTTGAGGTCAGCCTGGGCTATAAACTGAGTTTGACAACAGTCTAAACTATATAGTGAGACTGTCTCAAAAAAACAAAGAAAAGAAATAGAAAGGAAAGAATACAAAAATTACAGTGTCTCAGTTGTTTTCCAGATGATTTCTGTTACTCCCTACTCTGACAGATCATAGGTAGTGAATGCATGCATCATGGTGAGTTCAGAAAACTCTGAGAAGTTAGGACTGATGGGGTGATGTTATTTCTGAGACAGGGTCTCTTGTGTAGATCATCCTGGTCTTAAACTCACTTTATAGGCCAAACTGGCCCTGAATTAGCAACGACCATCTTCTCTCAGCCTCCTGAGCGCTGAGTTCACAGGCTCGGCTCTAATCTCACTCTTTGCGCTGCTTGAAAAAATGGCATTTCCAGGACTGCTCCCAAACCCAGATGGATTTGCATAAGCTCCTGTGACTGTGCCCTGTTCTAACGTGCTGTGATGTCAGGCCTTGGTAGCAGCCCTAGGCAGGATTGGCGGCACAGAGCGTCATTCACCTGTTGCTGTAGATCCCCTAAGGTCCCCCCACCCTCTGTCTGTGCTGAGTAGCTGAGCTCACCATCACTAGCCTGCATCCCAGCCTCTGTCCTGCCCATGAGGACGCACGCGCTGCTCACAGCAGCTCTGTGTACCGAGCGCTCTCACTGCGGTCGTGCACTGTGCACGATCCCGGCTGGTCTCCCCATGAGGAAGCTGCAGAGCCGCGAGCTGGAGAGCCTGTCAGCCTCCCGAGCAGTGGGGCAGGGAACCAGCTACGCTTCCTGTCCTGGCGGAGTGCTAGGCGGGGAGCACTGCAGACCCATAGGTGGGCAGGGACGGCGTTTCATGACCCGATGTCCTCGCAGCCTGGCCGCTGACCCCTCCCTAGGCCCGCACTCAGCCCTAATCCCCCCCCCCCCGCCCCAATCCCGGGCGAGGCCCAACTGACCTCGCGGGCTCTGGCGCCTCCTGGTGGCCGCCGGCGGCTCCACAGCGCTGCCCACGCAGACCTCGGCGCCGGCTCCTGCATCTCCTCCTCCACACAAACCAGGGCCGAGCCGCAGCCTCTGCTCCACGGAGCTTCGGCTGGCCTCGCCCCGAGCCGTGCGGTCACCACGCCCCGCTGTGCCCGCAGGCCGGCTGCCACGTGGAGCTGCTGTTCCTGCGCTACATCTCCGACTGGGACCTGGACCCGGGCCGCTGCTACCGCGTCACCTGGTTCACGTCCTGGAGCCCCTGCTACGACTGCGCGCGGCACGTGGCCGACTTCCTGCGCGGGAACCCGAACCTCAGCCTGCGCATCTTCACCGCGCGGCTCTACTTCTGCGAGGACCGCAAGGCGGAGCCCGAGGGGCTGCGGCGGCTGCACCGCGCGGGTGTCCAGATCGCGGTCATGACCTTCAAAGGTGTGAGGGAGCGGGCGGGCTGGGTCGAGGGCAGCGCGGGACCCGCGGGGACACCACGGCTCCCCGGCATCTTTCTTGGCAGGTGCTTGTTGGTTGGGACAGGCTCTTGCTATGTTGCCCAGACTGTACTCAAACTTGCGATGCTCTTCCCGCAGCCTCCCAGAGCGCTCGATTCTAGCCGAGCTCCCTTGGCAATCAGAACCCAAGGGGAAAGACAGACGTCCTGGACACAAAGCCCTGGGGAAGAGGAACTGGGGGTGGTGGTGGTCAAGGTTTGTTTCTCTCCTCCCCATTCAGGACCTAAACTATCTTCTCCCCACCTCCTTTTTTGTTAAAGATTATTTTTACTGCTGGAACACTTTCGTCGCGAACCGTGAGAAAACATTCAAGGCCTGGGAGGGGCTGCACGAGAACTCGGTCCGTCTGTCCAGACAGCTGCGGCGCATCCTGTTGGTAAGCGGCTTCAGGGCATCTCTGGGCCCGCCATAGTGCTCCTCCTCCTCCTCCTCCTGCCTGCCCTGCCCTGTCCCACCCCAGATCCCCTTCTGTAGAACAAGCTGTCACAGCGTCACCCCCGCGCGGAGCCCCGCCCAGCTCCGCTCGCTCACGAGGCCGCCCTGTCCCCGCAGCCGCTCTACGAGGTGGACGACCTGCGCGACGCCTTCCGCGTGCTGGGGCTTTGAACGCCGCCCCCAGGAGCCGCATGCGCAGCGCCTCATCCCTGCGGAAGAGAACGAATGGAAGAGCGGAGCTTCACGTCTGCGCTTCCTTCTGCAGTTCTCACTTTCTTAGCGTGCCGCGGGAGAAATATTTGTACATGACTGTTTGAAAATACCCACGTCTTGCAAATAGAGCAGGAGCGCTGGCGTAGCTGGCGGACGCGGCCATCGGCGCAGGCTCGGGCGCAGCGTCGCCCTCTGTCCGGCTGCATCGGAACTGCAGGGCCCGCGGGCGCATCCTGGAAGCCTTTCTGACCTGCTGCAGGCCAGCGCTGCAAAGCCCGCCGAGAGCTGTCCTGTCAGGATCTCTGTTACCTCAGCTATCTGAGCTGTCCTAGCCTCTTCTGACGAGCCCCATCCTCCGGTGGGCTCCTAATGACAAAATCTGGGTGACCCCTGACCCCCCCCCCCAAGCATTAAAGCGCAAGCGCATGTTTTTGTATTTGTAAGGACTGGGACTTGGGACCTGGGGCAGAAACTAGGCGTGGGTCACTTTCCGGTGACTTCAGTAAGGGATCACAATTAAAATAGACGTGAGGAGGGCCGGGCGCAGTGGTGGAGGACTGTGATCCTAACATACAGGTGCCTGAAAAAGGAGGATTCCCACCAATTGTGAGGCCAGCCTGGGCTACTTAGTGAGACCTTGTTTCAGAAACAAAAAACAGACGTGAGGCCTGTGAAGAAGGCGCCGTGTAATGAACTGATGTCTCAGTGGCACCGTCCTCTGAATACACAGACGCTGAAAGTCACCCACGAACACCCATGGAAATCATGGCCAGTGACCAGCGGGGACTTGGACAGACGCAGCTTGCATGTCAAGAAGAGAAAAATCTCTTCTCTCACATGAGTCTGTTGATGCCAGCCAGACCCAGGTTTTGTACTTTGATTTGTGTCATGCTCTTCCCAGAGTTATACTAACTGGATAACAAGGCGCCAGGAGCCACATCCGAGAGAGAGGCTGGGCACGGGGAGAGGAGCTGTGCTCCACCCCACAGAGGGCTTGGGCCTCTGTGCCTGCTCCATCGCTAACACGTGCGTGCTCAGCCATTAAATCCAAGGAGCATGAGCCTCAGGTGAGTGAGCAAGCCAGTATTAGTCGAATGCTGGCTTGCTCAGAATGCCCCTGGGAGGTAGACAGGCCCAACAATGAAAAGTGGATTTTGAAAAACACGGCCTTGTGTAACGTGGGATTCTATTCGACCAAAAATGGAATAAATGGGAGTGGTGAATGCTGGCCTGTATCCTCCGGAGGCAGAGGGATCATGAGTTGGAGGCTGGCTCGGGATACATAGAACTTATTTAAAAAAAAAAAAAAAAAAAAAAAAAAAAGAAGTATTGATGGACTTACAACACTGTGCCCTTTTTCTCTTTTATTTTAAGACAATCTCCCTAAATTACCCAGCCTGGTCTCCAGCTTGTGATACTCTTTCCTCACCCTCCTGAGGAGCTACGATTGCAGGCAAGCACCTCAGTGCCTGGCACACAATTGTTAGTATTTTTTTTTTTTTTTTGGTCTTTTTCTTGTTTATCAGTACTGGGGATCGAACTCACGACTGCCTGCTTACAAGGCAGGCGCTATGGCGCTGAGCTAAATCCCCAGCCCCCAATTGTTAGTATTTTAATCTTACTGTACATACATTTGTGAAGTAGTAAAGTAATAAAATAATTACTTCATCTTTTCATTTATAATGTGTAGTATAGTGTGTAATTATATTTTGTATCATACTTTCCTCTTCTGAAATATTGAAATGGGTTCCTGCTGTCTCATAAATTTATAGCTTTGTTTATTTTTATCTTTTTAGTGCCATGAATTGAACTCAGCACCTCACATGTGCTAGGCAAGCACTCTGTTAGTGAGCTACATCCCCAACTCAACTCATAGCTTTAGAAATTATTCTACTAGCAAAGAATATAACTATAATATAGTCTAATGTAGTACTATTAGAATGAAGCTATTTAGTAAACATTTTCACAAAATATTTGATTTTGGTTCATTTCCATCAACTGAATAATAACAAGTAATTAGGGAAGTTTTAGAGATGAAATGTTGAATAAAATAATTCCGGCAGTAAAAAGTCAGTATGATGGAATTAACCTGTGAGTCTAGAAACTGACCCACACATCGAGAGTCAACTGATCCATGACAAGCACAAAAGGACCTTTCAGTGGGGAAGAATAATCTTGCCTATGAATGCTGTGGGAGACAATTGGATGTCAGGTGCAAAAGAATGGGTCTGGTCTGGGGCTCTTGTCACACCATGTACAAAAACTGCTCGGGATGTAGGTGCACGTAAGAGTGCAAACTGTAAAAGGCAACAGAGGTGGAAATCTCCATGACAGCATAGCCAGCAGTTTCTTGTTTCCTAACACAGCTTTCAGAAAAACCTAATAATAACTAGTGTTGTCGAGGATGTGGGAAAACACTGACTAGTAGAAATGTGAACTGGTATAGCTGCAGTGGGAGAGTTTAGCAGTGGAAGAAAGGATGGGAGGGAGTAGACATCCCTTTCCCATCCTCCTCATGGTCTAGGAAGGTTTATGTTTGTAATCTCAAGGAGAATATATTGGAATTCTAGTGAGTTAATTCCAATCTACCACTTCCAGGGCAGCCCAAGGCAAGAATAAAGACACTACGACATATATAACAGTTATGGGAAACCAAGGGTCCTCAGTCCAGTCAAGATGGTGGTTCACAAGAACAAAGGCCATCCCCAGAACCCAACCCAGATTTTAATTTTCCACTAAGGAGTGGCTCGGGGATGAGTGACAGAGTGGTGGGAAATGTGAGTGTCACGAGCTGGGCCAGGTAGGAGGTCTGAGAATCATCTCTGTAATATGCAGAGGGCAAGAAATGCAGAGAGGGGAATCTGTGTAACACACGTGAGGTAGTGTCTGGTAATGTGGGGCCGGTGCTTCAGTTATGACATACAATCCTTTTTGCCCTGGGAAGTCATAGCCTCTTTCTCGAGGCTCAGTGCTTGCTGACAGCATGGAGCATGGCTCTGTATCCCGCCTGGCTCAACCACTGGGTGAGAAAACACTGACCTGTCATTTTGCTTCAGAGATTACACATCAGCTCCTCAGCCAGCCCAATTTACATTGCTAGAAAGCCAATTGAAGGGACAGAGAATTAGCCTAGCCAGCTCCATACATGGAGATAGGGCCAAATTTATCCAAATGGAGACAGTTGCTCTTCTTTTCAAAGAGAGTCAAGAAGATTTGTCTGGGTGGTTCCCCACAAAGGAGGAAAGGAAAGAAAAAGAAAACAGCTCCACACTTTCTCAAAAGCTAAACAAACAATGACTGTGTGCCCCACAATTCCACCTTTGAGTTTAAGAAAGAAACGTGCATCAAAACAAAACCTGTCCATGATTGTTCAAATCAGCATTACTCTTAATAGCCAAAAATGGATTTTAGAAAAACCTAAGAGCTTTGCAACAGAATTTTACTCAAGCATGAAAAGGAATAACTGGGCATGGTAATGCAGACCTGTGGTCCCAGCAGGTGAGAGGCTGAAGCAGGAGAATCACCAGTCCAAGGCCAGCCTGGACTATGAGGTGGGAGACTCTGTCACAGAAGAATGAAATAGCAGTGCCCAGCAGGACCAGGGTGACCTTACCACACCCCACTGTGTGAAGTCATCAGAAAAGCTTTGATCTTCTTCCTAGGAAAGGTCAGAAGAAGTAAGTTTGCAGAGTCACAAAGGGCTACAGAGAGGCAGGAATGAACAACATCTACTTACACAGTGACAGAAATGAGGTCACAGAATTAGTAGAAATGTGTGAATTTTGCTTATGTCTTAATTTTGGCAAAAAACTGAATGTTGGAGTCAGGAAAACCTGCATTTGAGTTCTGATTCTGGGTGATAGCAGGCAAAGTCAGTGCCATCCATGGAGCCTGGCACTGTCTGGATGGCTACTCGGATGCCAACACCGCACTCATCTGTGGTGAGGGTTAAGTCAGCAGATGACACAGGCTGGTGCTGTCACAATGAAAAGCTCTCCTTCTGTCCTTTCTGTTTGCAAGAGGAAACCTCCAGCTGTGTGCACACAAAGAAATAGGCTTAAGATAAGCCAAACACAGGGAGGTGTATTGATTTTATCAGATGCTAAGCATGAGGCAAGTAGGTGCTCAAGAACAACACATGTATGTACAAATCTACTTTTCTCCTGAGGACCTGGGTCAGGGAGTCTCAATGGTGGTGCATCTGCTGAGATGACCACAGAGGATTCCACCTGTAGCACTACGGTAAACCACTGTCTGAGAAGAGAGGGAATAATAAGGCGACTGGCCCTCCACCCCACCCATAGAGCTTGAACCCTCTCCCTTTGCTGCACCAGGTAGGGAAGGAACGGTGGGGACAAAAATTATCTTTCCCCACCACACGAGTGTTTCCGTGCAGCTTCAGTTTCACAGCTGCTCAAGGTAAAACCACTAACATTAACTGTGCCTCACGAGGCAGCTTCTGCCTCTCCAGCTGGGAGAAACCTTGTTGCATCACAGCTTGAAACTTTTCTCTCTCAGGGAGTAGATCCATTCTTTCTTTCTCCCTTGCAGCTGGCAATAAAAGAAGCCATGCGGGTGGGAGAGTCCTTGGAGGGATTTATTATTTTTTTTCTTGGAGGGATTTAAACAAGAACTCCAAATTCCTAATAATCCAGGACAGGTCACATGTCTTTATGGAACTGTTCCTTTCAAGACCTTAAAAGAATTAACGCAAGCTATCACTGCCTATGGTGCCATGACCCCTTTTACCTGAGCTTTAACAGAATTTATGGGACATCAAGTTATGACCCCAAATGATTGGAAAGGAACAGCTAAAGCATGTTTCCATTTGGGGGATTATTTATTGTGAAAGGAAAATTTTTTGAATCAGGCCATTTGCAGTACCACTCACAACATAAGCATTACAAATGCTGTGTTAACTGGAGAAGGTACCTTTGTTGCCAGAAATAATCAAATTATTTTTAAACTACAAGTAAATGAAAAAGTTAAACTACCTTCCATAAGGGCTTGGCGGGAACTTCCTTCAGAGGGTAACCTTGATCTGATCTCCATCCACCAAAGTCCTGATGAACCTTTTCAGGATTTTGCCACACACCTATTGTAGGCCAGCAAGAGGATTGTCAACAATTCAGAGGCTAACAAACTAACTGTTCAACAACTGGCCTTTGAAAATGCAAATAAATCGCCTAAAGAGGCCTGAGGAGCCCACAAAAAAGGCTGCACTGTCTGAGATGGTCGAAATTTGTGCAGACATTGATTGGGCCCCTCGTATGTGAAGCGGGGTTTCCTTGGCAGCAGCTGTCTCTCAGGCTACTCACCCACAGCCTAGAGCAAAAGAAAGCAGGACTTTACTTGTTTCAGTTCTACATGTCGGGAAATTTTGCCAAAATTGCTCTGCTGCCTGGTAAGAGCAACAAAGTTATTATTTGTCTCTTCAACAAAACCTTCTAGTAGAATCTGTACAAAGTGTAGACGAGGTAAACATGGAGCAAATGAGTATAGATCCAAAACTGATGTGGAAGACAGACCCAGCTGGGAAACTCCCAGTGGGGCCTGCTGCGGCCCTGCCACACAGCAGGACTCACAGTGCTTTCCCTGATTCCTCACCAGCCCCACCTTCCACCGTCAAGCACGTTTCTGACCTCTGGAAAGCAGCAAAGACGGTAGAGGCTTGAACCTCAGTCCCTCCAGGTTTGTACTAACTCCTGAAATGGGACCCCAGGCTATTCACACTGGAGTCTGTGGACCTTGACCTCAGAGAGCAGTGGACTCCTGCTAGGCCACAGCAGTCTCACTTTAAAAGGTCTCCAGGGGTTGCCTGGTGTCACCCGTGCTGAGTGTGCAGGGGAAATCAAAGTCATTCAAAACACTTTTCAAGTCACTCCAGAGGCTCACATTGCTCAATTGGTCATTCTTCCTTTGAAAAGATTGGAAAATTTATAAATAAGGAAACAGATCAATGGTATCTGGTCTTTGTAGGCTTATTGGGTTCAACAGGCTAAATGGGATTGCCCCAAGATGGAATGGATTAGTGAAGGAAAAGCATTCAAAGGGCTTTTAGACACAGGTGTGGGTTTCAGTGCCCAACACCGTTGGCCTCTGGCATGGCCCCTGGATACAACAACAACAGACCTACAGGGGGTGAGCAGCCTTTCTCACCCCAGTATAAGTGTTAAATTGTTGACTTGGAGGGCAGAAGGCCATTTTGGACGTTTCTCACCTGAAGTCTTCCTCAACACACCCATCAATCTATGGAGGTGTGATGGATTACAGGATATGAAGGCACTGCCATTCTCTAAGCTGTGTTTGATGCTCTTGGTACCACTATACCCAAAATTGACATAATTTACTAAACAGCTGCTGGTCCCAGTATTCCATGATTGAGATTGACTAAGGGTCACAGAAATGCCAAAGAACAGGGACTAGGCCAAGTGAGCAACAACTCATCTCCAACAAACTGAAGAGGTGAGATCTTCCAACAGACTCAAAATCCAAAACCCAGCTACACCTGGAAGATTCCCCAGAGAAGCAGTCATCACTTAAGGGTACTAAATGCGAGCACTAAATTAACCCATCATAAGCAATTTACAAGCATACCCCAGGAATTAAACTTTAAAAAAAGAGAAAAGGAAATGAAAAGACATTAAAGCAAAATGCAACCCTAGATATCCAGTTCACCAAAAGCAAACCCAGGGGGCAATGATGTGGGACAATCTGAAAGTCCCCACCAGTCCTCTCTGAAGTAGAAACAACAAAAAATTGAATAAGGCTCAGCAAAAAATGAAATCAGAAATAATCTTTCAGATAACTACAGAGATTACCAAAATACACACCATGCTTAGCAATGTTAAAGCAGACACAGACCAAAACAAACAAACAAACAGATGAGCTCAAGCAAATCATGGAAGCTCAACATAGGAAAGAAATGGAATCCATAAAGCAGATTCAATCAGACAGGAGAATAAAAACTCTACTGAAAGTATTAGAGGGGGCTGGGGATTTATCTCAGTGGCATAAGCACCTGCCTTGCAAGCAGGAGGTTGTGAGTTCGATCCCCAGTATGGATAAAAAAAAAGAAAGAAAGAAAGAAAGTATTAGAAGCAGATTAGGACAGTGTGAAGGCAGGATCTCAGATATTGAAGACAGGCTTGTAGTTAGCGACCAGGAAAAGAAAGATTTCTCAAAAATAGCAGGGACCATGAGAAATCAATCCAGCAGCTTCTAGATAAGACAAAGAAGAGTAACTTAAGATTGATTGGAGTCAATAAAAAAGCAGGAACTACTACAAATGACATTAAAAAATGTTCACAGACATCATGACAGAAAAACATTCTGGTAGAGAAAAAGAACTTGAATTATAGATAAATGAGGCACATAGAACTCCAATTAGCAATGATCAAAAAAAGATCTACAGCCAGGCATGCCAGGGTCTAGAATCCAGATATTCAACACAAGAATAGAATCCTAAAAGCTCTTAGAGAAAAGAAACAAATTACCTATAAAGGAAAGCCCATCTGAATCACAGCTGAGTTCTCAGCACAAAATCTCAAGTAAAGGAGAGCTTGGAGTAAAGTACTCCAAGTTCTAAAGAGAAACAATTTTCAAGCAAGATTTATGTGCTCTACGCTAACTAAAAGAACTTCGTCATCCTGTGCTATGTTTGCCAATGCCAAGTTATATGACCAAATTACCTGTTAATTCCCTTTGCAAATGCTACTATTCTCTATAACAGGACACCCAGGGGCACAGACCACATTGTTGTAAAGTAACTGTAGCACTGTCATACTGTTCTGTATGTGCCATCTTCCTGGGTGACCTGATTGATATGTTAACCATTATTCCCCTCTGCAAAGGACAGAAGTTATCTAAAAATTAAATGCTGAAATTAGCTGACAAAGGACTGTAAATTCCTGGAAATCTTCTCTGTCCTCAAGAAAAGGGAAACAAAGGTCTTCTTAATTGTTCTTTCTATAAAAGTCTTTCAAAATTTTAACCCAGCTACACAGTTTTGAAAATTCCAACTGCACTGTGTCACTGGATAAATAAAAGAGCTCCTTTTTCTTTAAAAAAGACGTCTTGCCCCATTTTTTGGACAACATTTTGGGGGCTCATTTTTGGGGTACAACATTATGTACCCTGAAAAACTATCTTTTAACACTGATGGAGAAATAAGATACTTCCATGATAAAGAACATCTGTGAAAATTTATGACCACCAAACCAGCACTCCAAAATGTTCTGAAGGACATTCTAGAAAGAGATAATAAGAACTACAGCTCCATGAACTGCAACAGAAAGAATCTACCAGGGAATGCAAACAACTAGAGACAGGAGTAAAAAAGGGGGGATGATATGACAATGATAAGTCAATACATAATCAGTTATAACCATCAATGTTAATGGTCTCAATTGACCAATCAAAAAACACAGATTGATAGAATGGGTGAAGAAGCAAAATCTAACAATATGCTGCATATAAGAAATACATTTAATTAAAAAAGAAATTCTCTGACTGAAAGTCAATGAATGGAAAACAATAACCCATACAACAGGAATCCAGAAAAAAATCAGGGATAGCTATTCTATTTGCAGACAAAGTGAATTTCAAATTAAGACTGATTAAGACATTTAAAGAAGGTAACTACATCCTCATAAAGGGAACAATCCAAGAAGAAGTGATAACAACCATAAATATATATGCAACAAATACCAGTGCACCCAACTATATAAAATGATTACTAACAGACACGAAAAATCAAATAAGCCCTAACAATTATATTGGGAGACCTCAGTACCCCACTGTCACAAAAAGACAGATCAACTGGAAAAATAAATCAATAATGAAATATTGGAACTAAATCAAACTTTTAAACAAATGGACTCAGTAGATGTCCATAGAGTGCTCTACCCCACAACATCAGAATACACGTTGTTCTCAGCTACACAAAGGACATTCACCAAAATAGACTATATACTGGCTCATAGAACAGGCTTAAGTAAATGCAAAGAAATTGAAATTATCTCATGTATCCTATCATATTAAAGTACAGTGAAATTGGAAATCCTTGGTTAAAGGAAAACACAAAAACTTCATAAACACATGAAAATTAAATATCACCCTATCAAACAACCAATCAGTGAAAAATGAAATTAAGAAATTAGACAGTTTTTACAATGAATGATAATGACAATACAGCATACTGGAACTTGTGGGACACAATGAAGGCAGGTTTTTTTAGGTTGTTGTTGTTGTTGTTGTTTGTCTTTTTGAGAGAATTTCTTACCATGCAGTTAAGGTGGGCCTTGAGCTCACTTTGTAGTCCAGGCTGGCCTCATTCTTGTAACAATCCTCCTGCCTCACCTTCCTAAATGCTGGAATTACAGGTGCCTAGCTAATGAAAGCAGTCTTAAGAAGGAAATTAATAGCAGTAAATGCACATATCAGGGAAACAGGACAACTGTGCATAGACAACGTAATGCTGAACCTCAAACTTCCAGAAAAAGAAGAGCAGGCTAATCCAAACCTCATATGAGGGAGGAAATTATAAAGATCAGAGCAGAAATTAGCACAGTGGGGACTAAAAAACAATGCAAAAACTCAGTGAGTTAAACTTTGGTTTAAGATTTAATAAAATTGACAAACCCTAGCCAACATTATCAGAAAAAGGAAAGACTCAAATCCATACAACTAGGAACAGAAAGGGTGAATTCACAACAAAACCTGCAGAAATCCAGAAGATCATCTATACCTACTTGAAAACTTGTATTCTAATAAGATGGAAAACTATAGAAGAAATAGACAGATTCCTAGATAACATATGAATTACCAAAGCTGGGTTAAGAAGATAAAAATTCCTAAATAAATAAAATTCCTAAATGTCTGTCAACAAAATTGAAGATGTAATAAAAAACCCACCAACCAAGAAAAGTAGGCCCTTATGGAATCACTGCTGAATTCTACAAGAAATTTAGAGAAGACCTACCACCACTACTTCTCAAAGTCTTTAATGAAATTGAAAGGGAAGCAATGCTTCCAAATTCATTCCTGGAAGCAAGAAATACCCTGATACCAAAATCAGAGAAAGACTCAACCAAG